TCATTTTCCAAATGTAATTGATTTATAATCTGTGTTCATGTGCAAGCTCTTTGTAGCACAGCTTGCTTTGGGCATTTTGGCAAAATTAATAAAATACCAGTTTTTGAATAATGCACAAACATTAAATTGTGCCTAAGACTCTGGAAGTTGCTGTTACTCAGTAGTTAAGTTTGCAGTGACCAAGTGCTGACTCAAACCAGTGTTTGTTTGAGTGGCATTATTGGTTCAAAAACAGTTGAAGCTCAATTACAATAGACACACTGGTCATACAATCAGTCAGTACAAAACAACATTTGGAACATATAAAGCTTTGTATAGAGAGATCATTGTCAGTCTGTCAATAGTCTTGTTGAACAGCTCAACATTCTTGCAAAAGCTGTTATGCCATTCTTATGCAATATTTGAATATGTTCTGTGTCCCAACATTTTGTTCCTCAACACCTGACAGTTGATCAATGTGAAGATCGAAAGCTATGGACAGCAAAAACTTTGATTTTGCTGTATGATAATGCCCAGCATTACTCCAGCCTTGTCCAGCAGGAAATAGCAAATACAACACACTAACATTTCCTCATCCACTGTATTTTCTAGACCAGGGGTCAGCAACATAGTGCCCACAGACACTGTGGCACATTTCAGATGCACCCTCTAGAGACAGTCATACAAGCACAAATACATATACTTACAATTTTTATTTAATTTGTGTTATTTAATGTTTGTACAGTACTTTTATTTTTATTTTTGTTACATGTATGTATAATCTTTATTTTTGTATGAATATGTATATTTTAAAACATAATTATTTTGTTTGTTTATTATAACATTGTGATTTTTTTCAAAAATTAAGCTATGCACCCTGATGGTTTTTAAAATTTTTATTGGGCCCTTAGTAATGAAATGGTTGCTGACCCCTGCTCTAGACATTTCATCCTGTGACTTTTTTTTCTTACTCTAAGGATGTTCTTTGTAGTTTAGATGAAATTATCAAGATGTCAATGGTGGTACTCTGACAGATCCAAAAAATACATTCTGGCAATGTTTTCAGTAGTAATATAAAAGATGGCAAAAGTGCATCATAGTTGAGGGAAATTATTTTGAAGAGTGGTATGTTTAAATAAAAGTTATGTTCACTTCCCATTGCATATTGTCATTAGTCCAAGTAATTACTGACTGTATCTCTCATGTAGTAAATGTTTAACAAAATTTAAAGCTTGTAAAACTTAATTGATGTTAAAATATATCATGTCAAAATGTTTTTTTCCATATGTTAAATTTGGTATATATATATATATATANTTATGAGATAAACTAAAATTCTAATTTAGTAATATCTGCTATCTCACTTAAAAATTGTTTCCAAATTATATATATATATATAAAATTTGAGTATTACTAATTATTATTTTGAACATTTAAATATTTCCATAGGATAAAGTAATTCTTGAACTTTTTCCTCTTATATTTTTCTTCTAGAGTGTTTTTATAATAGCATCCAAATTAAAATGGTTAGCTATTGAGTTTTGTCTGTTGAGTTCATAGCTTTACAAACAGTAAACACATTTTACTTGCTTTTCCAGCACAAAATGCTGAAAAGCAAGTAAAGTGTTTTTTCTGTTTGTATTATCTGTTCCAGTTTGGATCTCATAATTACTAGTATTAGCTTTCTTCATATATGTGACCAAAGGGTCAGCAATGCCTATGTCAGGACTGACACTGTTGTTGCTCAACATGAGTGTAGAGGGGTTTGCAGCCTCACAAACAGTTGCATATGCAAGTGGTCAAATTCAGGGCGGAAAAGACTGTGAGATAGTGCGTCCGAAAGAAGTGCACTCAACTACAGGGTTAACCAAATATCTTACTCAGCTCTTTAAATAATAAATCATCCAACACCTGATGCTGAGAATACGTTCAAGAATACTTGCATCTGAAAATGGCCTATCATATTAGGTTGAAAACATTAATGTTTCTTTAATAAACGTTTTCTCAGCAACAGGTGTTGGATGATTTATTACAGGGTTAATGTCAACAAATACCTTGCTGTTTATTTACACATAAAATTACACAAGATTAGGAGTCTTTAAGTGCGGGAGAGAGAGTTTACACTTGGACACGCAATGATAAATACCTGTAGTTAATTGTGGTTTCGTCAAGGTCAGACTCTTGATAGGCTTGAGATGGCTGACTCACTCCATAGGATGTTATAGTATACACCTGGTGGGTAGGCTTTTTGTACAATAGGAATCTAATAGGAAAACTTTGGGTTCATCGGACATTAGATAGTTTGATGTAGGACCCTCTGATGATAGATAGGTAAATGAATATTGTCGGATGGACTGATAAACAGTAGGTTGGCCTAGATGTTAATCAGCATCCATGAGTGGCTAAATCCTCTTGGATATAAAGGCTAGTCGCAAACTCTGTCGTCATTGATCTTTCTTCTTTTATTTGAGGTTCTTCTTTAATTTCAATGCCCTTTTTAGGAAATGTTGATTGGTTAAACCAATAACGATTTTTGATGTTACAGTCAAATGTGTTATCTCTGGATAAGGAAGCAAGTCCATGGAAAAACGGAATCACTTATTGCTGTTGTGGTTGAGAATTAAAATTTTAGCAAAAATTATATAAGTAAATTTTTTTCTATTTAGCCTGGGTTCTCTCATATATTTTTTATCATAACACCAAAATAAACAAATTGCTAAAACTCAGGTTACAAAAAATAATTAATTAGATACATTTTGACCTTGTGTTAGGCTGCCATCAGCTAATAGAATAAATGGAATAGAATTGTTTTGCATTTAAAAAGTTTGTTGATGCTAAATGATTGCTGGATTCATTAGCCATCATCTCTTGATAAATTTAATTAATGTGAAGGTTCTAGAAGAAAAGAATTGGCCTGGGCTCAAGTTCCCACTTTGGTCATTTCTTCTAAGCTACAGTACTGTGCGAATTAATGTGAACACATCATAATTAACATGATTTTGCTTTTTTTTTTTTTTTGCAGTTGGTAACACATTTATGTCATTTTGTTTTACTGATCTGATAGTCAGTAAGTAATAAGACATACCAAGCTACAAACGCATTGCATTTTGTTATTTTTTTCGAATTATTGTGTTTTTGATGAAGTTAAGCTGAACTGAGGCTTTATTAGCTTTTTTTTTTTTTTTTAAGATGGATATTACTCCCAAAAAGCACACTAAGATTGTTACTTTGAGTGAACACACATCAATGACTCAAAAAGATGTTGCCAAGCAGTGTGATGTGAGTTTAGGAGCTGTAAACAAGATTTTGAAGCAAAAAAAGGGACACTGGGATGATTGAGGTGAACAGAAAAGGGAAATGTGGAAGGAAAAGAAAGACAACAGCTTTTTAATAAGGGAAAGTAAATTAAACCCTAGGAAAACCAGTCAAGAACTTCAACAAGACTTAGCACATGCTGGAGTTATTTTTCATGACTCCACTGTACAAAAACAACTTATAGAAAGTGGAAGAAAAATTGTTAGACCTCAAAAGAAACAGTTATTGACTGCTGCCATGATAAAAAAATGTATGATTGGGCAAAAAATATGTGAGCTGGACTGTTGAAGATTAGAGGAAAGTGTTGTTTTCAGATGAGAGCCATTTTTTGGTACAAGGACAGCGATCTTGTTATGTTAAAAAAAGTGACAATGAAAAACTTACGGCAGCTCATATTGATCAAACAGTTAAACATCCATTAAAGATGTTCTGGGCTACTTTTCTTATAAAGGTACTAGATCCTTTATGCTGGTCAAAGGCATGATGAACTTGCAAAAATACAGAGACTTGTTAGAACAAAGATTGGAAGTTGAACTAGGAAAAGTTGATGCCGACAATCAAGCAGTATTTCAACAAGACTCGGCTCCTTGTCATATTTCCAAGGTTATGATTAAACATTTCAAAGATAAAAAGATATGCCTTGAATGGCCAGGAAATTCACCAGATCTTAATAGTAAAAGCAATAGCTTAGCATAGTGGGGGCGGCCTGCTTCGGGCAGCACTTTTAAGGGGCAGCAAAATTTCACAATAAATAATAATAATAATATCTTGTAAAAATTTGAACCATTTCATTTCATATTTTTGTAGCACCTACGATTCGGACTGATTGAAATGAGCACGGAATTTTTCATTACTTATTCTGTGACGAAACTGAATTTTAGTCTTTTAAATTGAGATACCTAAATAAGGGGGTGGCAAAAGTTTCCTCCGCCCCGGGCGGCTGACACCCACACTACGCCACTGAGTAAAAGCTAGACTTCGTAAAATAGATTGCACAGCAAAAACAAAACTGATTGAGGCTGTAATCCAGATATGGTTTTGAGACCAGCAAATAACAGAAAACTGTAAAAAACTTATTGATTCCATGCCAAAACGTGTTCAAGAAGTTAAAGCCAAGGGAGGACATATTTCATATGAAAACAATTTAAATTGTATTCATTTTTCAATTCTATTCATCTTTAACCAATAAATGTGTTTCTTTCAAATTTTCACTTGTGTTCACATTAATTCGCACAATACTGTAAGTTACTTGACATTTAATTAGTAGAATTAATATAACCCATATAACTTGCATTCCTTTTGGATTAATCTAAAAATCAGTTTTCTGGATGTTTATAATTCTAATTAACTTTTAAATGTAAAACATTTCTGTTCCATTTATTCTGTTAGCTGATTTAGCAGTTTGTTTGTTTTTTTATCCTTATTAAATATGGTATTAAGTTTCAAGGACTTTCATGATATCTTTGATCAGTTCATAAATTTGAATTAGTTTAGTTTTTCAAAAAATATGAAATGTTAACCTACTAATTTTTATTGGAATTAATAGATAACACTATTGTAATGAGATTATGTAATTAATATTATCTTTATAAATTTTGATTGGCCAAAGACAGTGTTGTGAATAAATCCCATTATATTAGAATATGTTTAACTAATCATATATGTTGTCTATATATATTATCTTAAAAGTAGTTTTGTAAATTTAGGGACGGCCTCGGAGAAGAACTCTTCAGTCGCCCGAATACAAGCAACTAAGTGAAGAAGAAAAAACACCAGACATAAATATTAAAGAAGAGAAAAAGATGGAATCTGATAAAGTAACCATTGTTATGAAGCGAGGCCGGAGATCAAAAGAAGAATTATGTAGCAGTCGAAGAAGAGTCAGTAGACGAGCTTTAAAGAGAACCATATTGCAGGCTAATTTAAGTGAAGATGACAAAAAAAATTCAGATGAGGTAAAACATTTTTCTGGCCCGATAAAGTATACATATGGTTTTGTATCAAATGCAATCTGTTCCTCCGGTTGACAGCCTCAAGCAAAAATGGGAAGAATTTCATCACTTCGAAAAAGTACTGAAAAAGATCTTCGATCTGATTGTTTTCGTTGTAAAGAGGTGGGCGACAGTACAAATATTGTTAGGTAAGTTGGTCACGAAAAATGACAAGTCTTTCTGAAATCTTTACATTACTATTCAGAAAGAGCTCTGTTGCAAATATGATAATTATTTGTTGTCCATTTCCCCAGTTTATTTCAAATTTAGTTTAGATCCTATAAATATTTAATTCTCAGTATTTAAATATCTTATTACTAATGTTAAAGTTGTGTATATCCATTTCATAGAATCTTTCTTTCCTTGGATTACATTATTATGATAGTATATATTGTTACAAAAATTGAAATGAATATATTATTTTACTTCAAAGTATGCAAATATTGTTAGTTTTTTCAAAGAACAGTACTTGAATTAAAGGTTTTTTTGCTTTTTAAATTTGGTAATTTGTTTGTTAGTTAAATTTTAAAAATTTTTGATAATTATTTCTTCCTAGAAAAGAGAATCAGACTATTAATCTGTCACTTGATAAATTTTGGCTCTTAGTTTTGTCCTGGAGACAATCTTCTCAGTCAAAATCATAAAAATTTTAGTAAATTGTCAAACATACATAATATTAAATATATATTTTATATAATAATATAAACATTGTCCGTGTTTTCTCTTGTTAAAGTTTTATTTTCAAAATGAAAGATGTAATTATAATACAGTATAGAGTGAAACTGCATATAAATGTTACATTATTTCATGGTATTCCAGATAAGTCAGGAGTAGAAGAAATCTTTTTATAGTAGCTAATCATAGAAATGAAAAATGAAATACATTCTACATTTCATTCATTTGTACAAACCACATGAGTGTGGTTGTGATGTGTGTGACATCTAATGTGATATGTATTGCAAAATTACAAGATCCTATATGAAACAATTTTCTATTAAGCTGAACATATACAGTAATTGTCAAATATGTTTGTAGGTTTAATTTTAGATTGACTACTACAGTACTATCATAATACATAAAAATATTGTTTGATAACAAGGAGGAGAGAGTAAATGTTTGATTTAAAAATCAAAAGTTTGAGAATTAGAAAAAAATGTGGAATGTGAGTTTAATCATTATCAGAATATAGAGAACATCCTGATAAAATCAGGTAAATAAAATCACTACCTAATATCAATATGACAGTAATTACATTTATAAGTAAATTTCACAGATATGATAAATTGATATGATAAATAGAATCAGATATGATAAATTGAAAATATAACAAATAGAAATGATTCTGATTTAAATAAAATAAAAATAGTTGGCATTAACTTGGTATATAAGACATCAATAAGACTCCTCCAACATTATATAATGCTTTTAAACTCAATATTTTGTAACCATTATTGATTATACATTATACAGGGTGTTTATAAAGGAATGGTGCAGTTTTAAAAATTAATAATAAATCTATTTATTATCTTACATGGGCAAACCTTACAGCATAAGCAGCGGCAACTGTCCAAGTTTTTTACGCGCTACCCGCTCTTCGCTTTTCATGCACTGCAGACCATCACGAAGGTCATGCTACACCATATATGGGAAGAATTTGATTACTGTGTTGATATGTGTCGTGTGACCATGGGTGCACATATTGAAGGATTGTGATTAATGCATAAAAAATTTGGACAGTTGCCACTGCTTATGCTGTAAGGTTTGCCATATAGGGTAATAAATAGATTTATTATTAATTTTTAAAACTGCACCGTTCGTTTATAAACACCCTGTATAATTCTTCTATAATTATTATTTAATCTGGAAAATAAAGTAACAGATCAGTGGTACCTCAGGATACGAAATGAGTCCGTTCCGAAACTGAGACCATATCATGAAAGTGTCATAAGGTGAATCATTTTTCCCCATATGATTACATGTAAAACCAAATAATTCGTTCCAACATGAAAAATACACTCAAATTAAAGCTAAGTAGTACATTAAAAAAAAAATAACTATAGTAAGGAAAACTGAAAAATGCATTCTGTAGTTGTAAATGTATAAATAACCATAATAGAATAATAATTGATAAAAAAAATGTAGTTTTATTTGCACTTTACCTTTGAGGATAGACGACGGTGGAGGAGTAAACTGGTGGCGGAAGAGAGGGAGAAGGGAAANTAAATCAAATAAAATAAATGTCTCTAAGTAATATGAATAAATAAAAATAAAAACAATAATAATAGTAGTAATAATAATAGAGTTCAACAATTTTGTTAATTAAGTATTATTTAAGTACAAAATATCACATTATTTTTTTTATCATCTTGATACCAAAGAAAAACAAATAGCATTATTAATGTCACGAGCCAGTCATGGCCTGGAGGCTATATCTTTGACATGCCTAATTTAGAAGGATTTGCAAAAGAAAATCTTGAGCAGCCAATTTGGAAAAACCCTGATATTCAAGAATTTGTTCATTGCAAAGACATTAACCAGAGAATTAAAACACCCAGAAGAGAAGAACCAACCAGAGAATTAAAACAGTGTGAACTGTTTGCTTCACTCGTTTCTGTAAAAGTAGAAAATCTTTCTCCATACATAAGCATTTGTTAGGAGACAAACAAATGAACTTTACAGAAAAACATATTAAAATGATAAATACTACAACAGATTTTTATTTGAATAAAACTAATTGTTTTCTGAAATGTAAATTTTTGCATCTATTTCTGCCCCTTTTCAGCTTTTTTCCCATATCTTTTTTGCACCTAAAAATTCATTCTTTAGTCATTATTTAAAATTGAGTATGGAGTATATTTATAATATGGTACTTGGGTGTTTAATAATCTGTGTTTGTGTGCAAGCTCTTGATTATGCCTATGTAAATAGTCTGTGATAAGAGCTTGCAACCAGAGGTTATAAGTTACATTGTTTCTGGCAGAAAATGCCATTTTCTGCAAGTCATTTGTGAGTGATGTATTTTCTGTAATATTTAGTGTTCATGACCTGATCTTGAATAGTTGTTTAAAATCTCCATAAATTATAGTCTTGACCTTGACCCTGAAAATCTATATATACGGTGTATTTTTTATCTTGAGACATTGAAGTAACTTAATTGGTTCTCATTATTTCGGAAAAGGGTATAGACAAAAGTTGTAAGATGTCAAGGGACCAATCAATTGGTGACCTTGACCTTCAAGGTCGTTTGTAGGTCAAGTCTGTTTTTTCAATGGGAACACACATTTTTGACACTGGAAGTGGAAAGAGCAGGAAATTTCACAACCGGATATACCTTTGACCTTTTTGTGTAGGTCAAAGGTCAAGATTATTTTAAGGTTAAAATTATAAGCTTTTTCTAATGGGGAAACCATACTTTTTATTACTGGAATAGGCAGGGAGGTAAAAGTTACATTTACGTGGAAACAACAGGAAATTTCAGAATCAGCCATGACCTTGAGTACCTCAAATTTGACCTCTGAAGGTCATCTCAAGTGTGATAATTGTAAGCATGGCTCAATAAATGCATTAAAGTGGAAGGGCATCATTTTGAACATTTGTTATAAAATTTTCTTCTAAAACCAACATGTCAAACAATGATAAGAATTAAAGTGACTCACCGAAAACAAGCAACAGGATAGTGAGAGGCAAGGAGACTCACTGAAAATAAGCACCTCAATGGGAGCAGAAAACTACTACATCCACATCGTTACTCCTCGGTAGTGTTAAAAGTAGTGAATACTTTCAAAGTTCAAAGTAATAAGGTCATGAAAAAATGTAACTTTTACCTCCCTGCCTATTTCAGTAATAAAAAGTATGGTTTCCCATTAGAAAAAGCTTATAATTTTAACCTTAAAATAATCTTGACCTTTGACCTACACAATAAGGTCAAAGGTATATCCGGTTGTNAGATCCTTCCACAACAAAGCAAACACGCGGACTGAGACCAATGAACGGAAGTGAATAAAAAATGGCTCTGCGAATTAATGTAACGTCGTATGGTGAGTTTTTGTTCGTATCGTGGAGCAAAATTATGTTCGAATTTCATGTCGTATCCTGAATACTGTATTTCGTATGCTGGGGCGTTTGTATCCTGAGGTACCACTGTATAGAGATGATGTGATAAATACAAATAATTGAATGTGCAATGTGACAGAGAAAATTAAATTAATGTTTCAGAAGGATTTGAAAGTGATTATTATTTGAATAAATAAGAGTATATACTAAGATGACTTGGTTTATAGAATGGAAATAAAATAATTAAAAGCTGAAAGATTCCAAAAGGATTAAACAAACTATTAAAGAAATTGGTTTAAATGCAGGAACTATTCTATTCTCAGCACCAGGATGAAAATAACGTCACACTATTGGAACCTGTAACCGGTACTCTATGCGTATACATTAAATATCGCTTGACAAACGTTTTCGAGCGTTCTGTTCGCTCTTCTTCAGGTCAACTGAAAGAATTCCCCGGACGGAGTGTATATTATTCTTCTCTAGGATCAGGTGTCGGTTCTGAGGGGGTGGGTTGCTTCCGGTATGCGCGGCCGTGCGGCGGGGGAGGAAGCGGCAGATTTGCGTCCAATAGTGATTGCCAGGCCAGAGACAAGGTTAGCTCCTCTTTCCGGTTAATGCAGGTGGTTAGCCGGTCAGCGTTGTGGATAGCCGCGGCTTCCAGCCATCTGAGTTGCTGCTGGTAGGGCGTGTTGACAATAATGGTAGTTTTCTCGAAGTGTACTTCGATTTCGGGGTCTGATGCATATGTGGCTAGGGCTGTGGTCAGCCTCCCATGCCAGATATCCGCTTGGTGTTCACGTAGGCGGGTGTTAAGGAGTGTTTGGTTGAGCCGATGTATAGTAGTTCCGCGTTTTGTCTATTCTCACGGAATGGGATAGAGTAGATTCCGGGGAGTCTGATGCGATCAGGAGGGTCTTTATCGTTCCTTAGGATGTGGAAAATCATGGGGCATCTTCTGTACGCCAGTCAAATCCCGTGCTCTTTGGCTATTTTTCTATGCACAATCTTGAGGTGCGGGCTGTATGTGATGGGGATCCGTGCTGGGTTATCTCGTTGTGGGTCAGCGGCGATCTCTGCGGTTAGGGTGTGTTTCCGGCGTTGGTACTGTTCAATTAAGCGGTGCGTCATGTTCGGGAATCCGTGTTCGGTTGCTATTTTTTTGATGCGGGCTAATTCATTTGTCAGGGCTTGCTTGGAGGATGAGTGTGAGAACGCCCTCTCCACAAGAGTCCTAAATGCGGCTGCCTTGTATGGGAACGGGTCACAGGAATTGGTTGGTATGTACGTGGGAGTGGATGAGGGCTTGTGGTATACGGCTGTTTGGATGGTGGGTCCTACTATCTTTATTCCGATGTCGAGGAAATGGAATTCTTCCGTACTAGCCTGCTCCAGCTCGACCATTAGGCCGAAAGGGTTGTCGTTAACTGTTCTGACGAAAGATGTCATGTCGGGTATCTCCTTCCATATGATAAGGATGTCGTCAACGTATCTTTTATAAACGAGGATGCTAGGAAGGAAAGGCGAAAAGAACGCTCGAAAACATTTGTCAAGCGATATTTAACGTATACGCATAGAGCACCAGTCACAGGTTCCGATAGTGTGACGAAATTGGTTTATTTGCAGTTCTACTTTGGAATCATTTTGATTTATTTTGAAGTGGGAAAAGATATGTAATTTATCATCATTTTATTTTAGGTGTTAAATGCATTTTGATATATATAATATATATATATAATATTTGTTCATTGAAAATTTGTTCATTGAAATTTTAAAAAAGCAAACAAACAAGAGAGAAAGTTAATTTTGGAATTTTAACTTGCATGGAAAATCGAATCTGTGATATAAGGCAATGATGATCAAACTTCTTAACTTGCAAGTCAAATTATGCATAAGTTCTAAATAGGTGGAGCTATAAGTATCCTGTATAAAAATAGACCAATGTTTTGCATATATCTCCATATATGCAAAACATTTACAAAAGATAAAAAATAGGCCAGTGGTTTGTCAGATATACTTGTGAGCCTGATTTCTCCCAAGAACTATAGTTTGGTCACCACTGACAAACTTAAATAATAACTGCAAACAAAAAATTTCAGATCATTGAGTTTTCATCAAACGTCAATCATGATTAAACAGGTTTATTTCAGATTTAACTCATATAGTACATATATATGAATTGAAACTGAAGGCTTAAAACCAGTTTCTTTTAATGAGTTAAGTTGTAGAGTTTATAAAATTTTACTCCGAGCAGCAATACGGCCAATGTGAACATTTTTGGGGTGTTTCTTTTCAATAAAATCAGTCACTTTCTGATAATACCTCAAGATTTCCTTTATGGAGCGAGATCCTTCCACAACAAAGCAAACACGCGGACTGAGACCAATGAACGGAAGTGAATAAAAAATGGCTCTGCGAATTAATGTAACGTCGTATGGTGAGTTTTTGTTCGTATCGTGGAGCAAAATTATGTTCGAATTTCATGTCGTATCCTGAATACTGTATTTCGTATGCTGGGGCGTTTGTATCCTGAGGTACCACTGTATAGAGATGATGTGATAAATACAAATAATTGAATGTGCAATGTGACAGAGAAAATTAAATTAATGTTTCAGAAGGATTTGAAAGTGATTATTATTTGAATAAATAAGAGTATATACTAAGATGACTTGGTTTATAGAATGGAAATAAAATAATTAAAAGCTGAAAGATTCCAAAAGGATTAAACAAACTATTAAAGAAATTGGTTTAAATGCAGGAACTATTCTATTCTCAGCACCAGGATGAAAATAACGTCACACTATTGGAACCTGTAACCGGTGCTCTATGCGTATACATTAAATATCGCTTGACAAACGTTTTCGAGCGTTCTGTTCGCTCTTCTTCAGGTCAACTGAAAGAATTCCCCGGACGGAGTGTATATTATTCTTCTCTAGGATCAGGTGTCGGTTCTGAGGGGGTGGGTTGCTTCCGGTATGCGCGGCCGTGCGGCGGGGGAGGAAGCGGCAGATTTGCGTCCAATAGTGATTGCCAGGCCAGAGACAAGGTTAGCTCCTCTTTCCGGTTAATGCAGGTGGTTAGCCGGTCAGCGTTGTGGATAGCCGCGGCTTCCAGCCATCTGAGTTGCTGCTGGTAGGGCGTGTTGACAATAATGGTAGTTTTCTCGAAGTGTACTTCGATTTCGGGGTCTGATGCATATGTGGCTAGGGCTGTGGTCAGCCTCCCATGCCAGATATCCGCTTGGTGTTCACGTAGGCGGGTGTTAAGGAGTGTTTGGTTGAGCCGATGTATAGTAGTTCCGCGTTTTGTCTATTGTCACGGAATGGGATAGAGTAGATTCCGGGGAGTCTGATGCGATCAGGAGGGTCTTTATCGTTCCTTAGGATGTGGAAAATCATGGGGCATCTTCTGTACGCCAGTCAAATCCCGTGCTCTTTGGCTATTTTTCTATGCACAATCTTGAGGTGCGGGCTGTATGTGATGGGGATCCGTGCTGGGTTATCTCGTTGTGGGTCAGCGGCGATCTCTGCGGTTAGGGCGTGTTTCCGGCGTTGGTACTGTTCAATTAAGCGGTGCGTCATGTTCGGGAATCCGTGTTCGGTTGCTATTTTTTTGATGCGGGCTAATTCATTTGTCAGGGCTTGCTTGGAGGATGAGTGTGAGAACGCCCTCTCCACAAGAGTCCTAAATGCGGCTGCCTTGTATGGGAACGGGTCACAGGAATTGGTTGGTATGTACGTGGGAGTGGATGAGGGCTTGTGGTATACGGCTGTTTGGATGGTGGGTCCTACTATCTTTATTCCGATGTCGAGGAAATGGAATTCTTCCGTACTAGCCTGCTCCAGCTCGACCATTAGGCCGAAAGGGTTGTCGTTAACTGTTCTGACGAAAGATGTCATGTCGGGTATCTCCTTCCATATGATAAGGATGTCGTCAACGTATCTTTTATAAACGAGGATGCTAGGAAGGAAAGGCGAAAAGAACGCTCGAAAACATTTGTCAAGCGATATTTAACGTATACGCATAGAGCACCAGTCACAGGTTCCGATAGTGTGACGAAATTGGTTTATTTGCAGTTCTACTTTGGAATCATTTTGATTTATTTTGAAGTGGGAAAAGATATGTAATTTATCATCATTTTATTTTAGGTGTTAAATGCATTTTGATATATATAATATATATATATAATATTTGTTCATTGAAAATTTGTTCATTGAAATTTTAAAAAAGCAAACAAACAAGAGAGAAAGTTAATTTTGGAATTTTAACTTGCATGGAAAATCGAATCTGTGATATAAGGCAATGATGATCAAACTTCTTAACTTGCAAGTCAAATTATGCATAAGTTCTAAATAGGTGGAGCTATAAGTATCCTGTATAAAAATAGACCAATGTTTTGCATATATCTCCATATATGCAAAACATTTACAAAAGATAAAAAATAGGCCAGTGGTTTGTCAGATATACTTGTGAGCCTGATTTCTCCCAAGAACTATAGTTTGGTCACCACTGACAAACTTAAATAATAACTGCAAACAAAAAATTTCAGATCATTGAGTTTTCATCAAACGTCAATCATGATTAAACAGGTTTATTTCAGATTTAACTCATATAGTACATATATATGAATTGAAACTGAAGGCTTAAAACCAGTTTCTTTTAATGAGTTAAGTTGTAGAGTTTATAAAATTGCTGGATAGTAAGCTATTTAAAAAAAGAATAACTATATTGTATTTGTGAAACTGTAATAGGTTTATTATGTAAATATTAAAATTTGTTTTTTTTTTAATTTAAAATAATTCAGCCAAAATTTTTATCTGGATATAAATATTTAGTAGTTTGATTCGTTGTGATATAAAAATTATATTAAAAATAGTATATTTATTCATTTTATATATTCATTCAATGGAAAAATTACTGAGATTTTTACCAGTTTAATATAGTTTATTAATTGTTAAGTGTTCATTCAGATTGTATTTAAAAGAAATTATTGGGAAACCAACAAGAAAGGACTTACATAAATAATTTAGTACTTAATATTATTGCATGTCATAAATTTGTGATGGAGAATGATATTGAAGTAATATAAACAAATATTAGGACTATTATTTACAATTCAGTTTGTGTTTGATATTTTAAGATTTCCTATTTCAAATTATTAAATTTAACAGTACTTTGAAGTAAATGATATATGTATAATTGAACTTTTAATGTGTATCATATAGCTATATGGACATAATCTAAAAACCTCAACTTGTATTAAGATCTGTTGTTATAAACAAGAGAGAGAAGAAAATTTAATGAAATCTTCTTATTCCAATAGTGTAAAAAACAAACATTTGACTATTTTAAATAACAATCTTCAAGTTTTCATTTACAAAAATGAAAATATTTTAATATATTTTCTCAATATAAAACTTCAAAAGAATATACTAAATGTTTCCATTTTTATAATAAAATTTTGAGATTGCCATTTAAAACAGATAAATGTTTCTCTAATTAAGATTACTGAAATAATAAGGTGAATATTCTTTCAATTAAGTTGATCCTGATGCAAGTGTAATTTTGGTAGAAATTAATATAGATTAATTTATTATTAAAATGTTTTTATTTAAATAAATTAAATATTCCTTTTATATATAAAATATCAAAACCATTTATTGAAAAAAATTAATGCAAATAAAATTTAGTTTTAAATTGATTTAAGACTTTAAAATTATATTCAAAATTAAATTTTAATCAATGGGAAAAATTGGGAAATCATAATTAAGCCACTGAAAAAGAATGTACTGTATATTGGTTAACATTTTAAAAATGCACATACGGTAGATCTATACATTATGGGTGTCACAGGTGTGATGAATGCAAGAAATGCTTCCATTTCCAATGTCTGAATCCTCCAGTGAAGAAAAATCCCAAACAGAGAGGCTATACTTGGTACTGTGAGGACTGCGATTCCGTAAGTAGTTATCCCAATCCCCTTGTATATTGCATGTCTTCAAATAAACCTAAATAGCTTTGCATGATTTATTTTTAAGTGACAAATGAATGTAGTTTTTTAATTTTTACAATATATTTAAACAATTAAGAAGCACTAAAAATATTTAATACTAAATTTTCAATTTTTTGAAAACTTTTACTTTCAAATTGTCACTTAAAAATATTGATAAAAAAAAGATTGCGAAAAAGAAATTAATAAATTCTTTTATTAGTTTCAATATATTTTTCATAAAAATTATTATTGATGTTTTAAATTGCACAATATATTAGTATTTACAACATTATTAATATATTTTCTTTTTCTTTTTTGAACAGTATTAATTAAGAGGCAGCATCAGTTTAGTCAGTTTGTTACTCTTAAATTTGTTACTTCAGTAATGTAAATTTTTTAAAATTTTATTATTGACAGTAACTTTTTCAATAATAAATAAATAATTCTCCAGAAAAGTACGTTTTTGTATGAGTGTTATTCTTTATTTGAATATTTTATATTCCAAATATTGTTTTTTTCCCCCTCTCATATTAGGGAGTCAATAATTTAAAGATTGACTTTCTGAAATCATTTTTAGGTTTCTTCATCTGAAATTGTTTTCTTCTGCTACTGCTGCTGTCTCTTAATTCAATTTAATTTTATCTTGTGTAATTTTAATTTCAGTGATACTGTTATAAATTAAGGAATGAGTAGTATGTTTAATAATTTGTACATAAGTTGGATTCATTTCTTTTTACTTTATATAAAGTGTATTTAAGCAGTATTTGCATGTTAAGCAACTAAATGTGTCAGTTATAAATATTTTAATCCCTTATTAGAATGTCCTTTAATGATATTATTTGATTGAATTGATCATTTATTGTAATGTAGATGGTCATTGCATGATTTGTTAAAATATATCACACCCTATGAGTAGCATGGTGTTTCTACTTTGCACAGTGTGAGCTAAGTCTATGAAATAAAGAACAAATTTTAGAAGAGAGCAGCCTGGCACATGTATAATCTGGAGGGATTCAGTACCATTAACTATACATTTGTTAATTATTATAAAATGAAATTAAACAAATAATAAATGCTTTAAGCAATTAAAAATTATTTTAACCACATTTTATACTTATTAATTACACTTTCTTACAGGAAATCTTATATATGTTTATTTTTATCATAATAAACTTTAACTTTTGTTTTTTTGTGTGTAACAAAGTATTTGCTTGTCAAAATTTTGAAAATAAATACTATAAATCTAAGCTGTTGAGCAATGGGAACTGGAGAAAACTTAGGAGCTTCTAGTAGTATCTATCTCTTTATCATTATCATCATCATTGTTATTATTATTATTATTATACTAACAAAAAATAAAATCTTTAAAATTATTTTTTATTAATAAGAAAACATCGTATGTATTTCATTTATTAAAAAAATATGGCAAAAGGGGCCTGCTGTACTTCCATGTCCCATACAAGTTCTCTACAGCCCTGCAATAACCAACATGACATAACTATGATCATTATAAAAATTTAAAAGTTTATACTTTTTCTAATTACAGAATTTATTTAATTTTAAACATATAAATTACATGTTGATATATATTTGAAGAATCTTAGACTAAATATAAATATTTGATTTAGTCTGAGATTATATGTTATGTCAGGTTGTTTATATTGCTTACATTATAATATGGAATAGAAAAATTTATTAAATAGTATTTATTTATAAAGTAAAAATAAAATGTCAATATATTTAAATTGATTTTTTTTATTTAAAAATTGTTAAATTTAATATGTAAAATATTATTACCAAAGAATGAAAATTTTATAATTTTAATTTGAATGATGATAATTATTTAGCATTTTTTCTAATAGCTTTTTGTTTTTGACTTTTTACAGTGTGTTTATACATAATTGATTGATTAATATTAAATTATTTTAATTGATGCAATGGCTTTACTTTTTAATATATGTAATTATTTAAATTGGTGTAATTATATCTATTTATTAATTGGATTTAATATACAGTGTTTTAAAATTTTCTTTAAATTTTTACATAAAAAAAACTTTTTTGATTTTAAATATTTGTCAGTTAAATGTTCTTGAGCAACATAATTAAAATTTGAATTTATTAAAATTAATACAAATATTTTTTGTAATATGAAATTAAAATTTTTAAATTAATAATTTAAAATTGTTTATACTTCTGTTTAATATTAGTGCTTTCATCTAGAAATTTTTTTAATAGGAGGAGAGCTATGACAACCTAACAGACGATGAAAATGATGAAGATTTTACCCTACAACTGTCGGACTAAATGGAAGAAGGAAAAACTCTTAATCTTAATCTTTTATGTAATAAAATGATCTTGATCATTATTTGTTTTTAAATATTTCATGCTATACAATGGCATTAAATTTATAATTGAAAAGAATTGTTCTGTTTTCAAAAATACTTTTTGGAGAAACTCAGCATCAGCATGAGTATCAGCATGCTGATGCTGATACTCATTATGGTTAATTTAAACTAGAATTATGCTCAATCTTTCTTCTGTTTTAACATTTTTTAAAATTCATTATATTTACTACTTACTTTAACCGTTTTCCAAATTTTTATAGTAATGTTCTTTGTGGTTTTCAAAGACATTATGAAATTTTTAATTTTTGTTTTGATCAGTATTGATGTTACTGCTGTAGTTATTCTTACATTTTACTAAAATGTAGCTTTAAATTCTATATTAAAATTGTAAAATGTGTTGTATCTCTGTCTTATATATCTGTATTACTGAAGAAATATACTGCCATCAAAAACATTTATGTATTTTAAAAGTTTTGTAAATGTGTTCTTTAAAAATTGGATGTGTATATTTATTGACTTTTGTATTGTATTATTAATTTTTTAATGTCTTTTTAGGCTAAAATAATGTTTGTGTATTAAATTTAAGTGAAAATAGATAATAAATGTTTTATTATATGAGATTACGATGAAGTGTTTATTTCTAATTTTCTCATTCTATGACAGATAATTGCATTAAATGATCAATAACTGTAATCATATCATATAATTAGGTTATTACTAACCTGACAAATTTATAGTTGTTTAGAATCATTTCTTATATATATAAGAAATGAAATAAATATATATATATTTCATTTGATAACATTTACATACACATGATATATATATCGTGTGTGTGTGTGTGTAACTTTTTAACAGTATGTTGTATGAAATCAATTTAAATGAATGAAATTGCTTATATACTATTACTAATAAATAATTTTACAAGTTTTCAACAGTTTGTTTTTATGTAATTTGAACAATAATTGAAAATACAAATTTTTATTTCATACTAATTATTTACATTTGTATTATTTAATATAGTTAAATATAGTTATTTTTTATTCTTATTTTATAGTTCAGAAAATGGAATTGAATTCTGAAAGTTCTTAGCATTTGAAGACAACATATTTTGAAGGAAGCTTACTTACTTTACTTTTTTACTTTTTTTACTTTAATTTTGAAATTAAAATTTTCAAAAATTTGTTAATTTCATATTTATTGAATAAATACATAAAATTATTGAACATTTTTTTAAACTTCTANTTTTTTTTTTTTTTTTTTTTTTTTTTTTTTTTTTTTTTTTGTTAAATCTATTTGATCATAAACAAAAATCACTTAATGCTACCAAACTTTCCTCCTCCAGTATTGAAATTGATTCTCTGTTTGAGGGAATAGATTTCTACTCCACCATCACCAGAGCTAGATTTGAGGAGTTGAATGCCGACTTGTTCCGTGGAACGTTGGAACCGGTCGAAAAGGCTTTGAGAGATGCAAAAATGGACAAGAGTCAAATACACGATATTGTACTCGTCGGCGGTTCTACTCGTATTCCAAAGATACAGAAATTACTGCAAGATTTTTTCAATGGAAAAGATTTAAACAAAAGTATAAACCCCGATGAAGCAGTTGCTTATGGTGCAGCTGTTCAGGTAATATTTCAGTTTTTTAATAGTAAGTAAAAGTATTGATTTTATAAATACACGCATATATTGATTTTTTTTTTTTTTATTTGCATGTGCTTTCATAAAAGAACCACCATAGGTGAAAATATAAAAAACATGTGCCTCTTCACATTTCTACACCTTACAGGAATCATTGTCACATCCTCTATTAAGCATTTAAGACATATTTAATATTATAAACACTGGATATGTACTTGTACCAGCAACTGAATTTTTACCTATGGTTGTTCTTTTATGAAAGTGTGTGCAAATTATATAGCACTGAAGAGGGTTGAGAATTTGTCAACCTGATATGCATGTGTAAAAGAGAAAATTGAATAATAAATTGTGCATGGTTAAACCATTGGATATTTGTTTGCTGTAGGAAATACTATACCTAAAATAAAGGGTTATGGAGTTAAATTAATAAAGATTCGGCTACCCTATTTAAGGAAAACAAAATTATAATTTCATGTTATTTAATTTTAATAATAATACTGTTTCAATGCATTTAGTTTGGCATGACCTATAACTTAACCTGGAAATATATATGAGATAAAGTTTTCTCAATTACATACCATTGATGAGTCAAATTTAATTTTAATTAATCATATCCTGATTTGCTTTAAATTACAGTACATTAAGATTAGACTATTACACAAAAGATTCATCATCAATGATACTCAAATTTCCCAAATACAGAAATTTGATTGGCTGCAATTTTCATATTGTATCCTATAAATTTCCACCATTGTCTGTCTGTCTTTCCTTATTCTCGAGAATAATGTTAGCTAGATGAAAGTCAAGACCAGATATGGAAAGATTTGCAGCAGAAGGCCCGATTAACTATACAAACTTCCACTTTGGGCCTGAAGTCATGTTATTTCAATTCAAAAATTTTCTCCTGAATTTAGTTAGATAGATGACCAGCATGACTTCATTGTTAATAGGAAAAAATGATATGGGAGCAAGACACTACTAAAATTGAAAGCACTGTGAGGAAAAATTGCTTGGCATAGTGACGTTGTCACTATGCCAAGCAATTTTTCTTCACAGTGCATTCAATTCCATTTTTCAACATTGTCAAATTGAGTGTTGGCATTGACAATGTGACAATAAATAATTGCTTATTTATATTGCATTATGATAATTCACATGAAAGATCAAATACTTTAAAACAGAATTAACATCAGAATTTTTCTAAAGATGTTTATAATTAAGGTGAATATGTATCAGTTAATAATTCTTAACTAATAAATACAAAAATAATTTTGAAAACAAGAAGCTAAATGTTTCAAAATTAAATTCGTATATAAATTGACATAGGTCAGTCATTAGTGAAAAGTAAGATTGCATAACGTAAAAATAGCTGAGATCAGGGTGTGTGTGTTCCAACAACCAATACTACAGAATTTAAATTAAAATCAAGTACTGTATTTAAATATACTAAAGTTAATAAAAAATGTCAGACAGCAAAGATCAATGGTTTATATCTGAAAACAAGTCAAAAATTAATTTTATTTAAAAAAAAATTATATCATCATATAGAAAAAAAATCTAGTCCATATTTAACATACAAAATATATTCTTAGTATTATTTAATATTTTTGAAATTGTCACAATATTACAGTACTTATGATAAAATTTTTATCTTATATCTGGCAAAGAAAACAAATTACCGTGATAATTTAATATTTTATTACATGGTAATTTGTTTTGGAATTGTAAAATTTAACATCTATTGCTATATTTACTATATTAAAAAATTAATAAGTATTATCAAGTGTCACTCTAAAAACTGAAATCTTAAAAAGTTTAGTCACTTCTATTAATTTTAGTTAAGTTCTACCTTAGACTTTTTTCTTAAACAAAAACAATAATATCATACCAGTTTTTAAATAAAAATATATCCAATAATGCTGTAGTAGCAAACTTGAAAAATGACTACTAAATATTTTTCAATTTAATTCAATTCAAAACATTCAGGTTTGAATATTATTTGCAATTTGTTTGCACTAAAAAACTAAAATTCTTTACAGTCATGTAATATTTTATCTGCCATCTAATGTCGAAGGAGTCAAGAAAGAATTGAACAGTTTTACAGGATTTTACATTTATTAAAACAAAATAGCAATAATTTTCATGGAATTTGAAAAATAGTGTGTATTATATGTCAACAAAGATAGTAGAAAAGATTATAGATCAAATATAATTATTTACAGTACATAGCTCAAAAAATAATTCTTGATTTTAGAGTCCTTGCACAAATTATTTTGATCTTAAAATCCATACTTTTATATAGAGAAAAATACATTTTTTATAATTCTCTTTGTAGATATAATTTAAATAAATTTAATTAATTTTGACATAAAATTTGATTTGATTAAAAAGAAAATTAAATGAAAATACATAGCACTTTAAGAGATGAAATTCTTCTATACTTTTTTTGTTTACACATTTATTTCAAAGGATCTTGTAATTTAATTAACCTGCCTTAAATTAATGAAAGTAAAACTTCTCAAATTTTGACATACTCCATAATTGTTGATCTATCTTCATTTAAACTACAGTATATGTAATCATAATGGCACATTAAGTGAAAATTAAAAGTAAAGATTTCATTCAATAATATAGTACTATGGTTCCTGGAATTAGTTTACATTCAAACTTCTATGACATGGCAATATAGACAAAATGTTTGTAATCAGTAGACTGAACTAAAAACTAAGAGACTTATCCATATTTTCTAAATACAAATTGATCATGTGTATTAAATGCTGTCATTCATCTATGGATAAAATTTAAGAGAGGAATATTTTGTTAAATTTCTTCATGAACAAACTATAAGAGTATGGACAGTCTTTGCTGTTATTTGAAGTAAATGTGAACATTGGAAAACTTCAGGTTATTTGCATTTTGCATTAGACTATAATGAAAGTAATATTTTAGCACTAATCTATCAGCAAAATTATAATAAAATTTGTACATTTTCAGTTATCAAAATATTGTATTATATGGTACATACAAAATTCTTGTAAAGAAATTGACTGCAATATTAATTTGAATTTATTCAGTTTGTTGTTCTATTATAAATGATACAAGTCAAATGAATTAAGTTCTGTTGAATATACAGTACATCATTTTGGAGGATATGTAGTTTATAAAATAGTTAAATATGAAAATTGTTCAGCAAACTAGTAAGAAATTTAAGTGAGTAGTTATATTGATATATACTTTAAACTTCAAGATAAATTCCATAATATAAACTTTTACTAATATGATAAATATGAATTCATTTTTTATAATACTCAAGAATGAAATTAACAATGATTTATATGAAACAATACTTTAATAAGAATTCCTACAGCTTGAATCATTTTTATTTTTGAGTTGTAAACTTGAGATGAAAAATGCATAGTTTATACTAACAGTTTTTGATAATTTATGTATAATCTTTTTAAAGAAATGTATTTAAAACAAAATTTCATATGTAAATTATGTCATGTTTAAATGTCTGTATGAAATAGAATTTAATATAAGGTGTATTATAAATAAAATTATTCATAAGCATTTTATTATATTTTCTATTTTTAATTTTTCCAAATCAGAATTATTTTAAGTATCATACATTTGATCCATATGAAATTTGAAATATTTTCAATGACTGTAATTCTGTTTATAAAGTATGAATAATTATATTTATAAATAGAAGAAAGAGAATAAAATACAATATCTAGATACACAAAGGAGAGTGGACATGAGGAAATAATTTAGTTATGTATTTCTATTATTACATTAACTGTGATTAAATTAGAAGTGATAAATTGGCATTTCATATACTTTGTATGTACACAGATTCTAGTGACTGATAGATGTTTTGAAAGGCATTGTCTAGAAACACAAAACACTAGAAACTGTACTTAATTTGATTTTAGAAATGACAAAGGTGACAGAGGTATACAAAGTTCCGTTTAACGCAATTTTCAAAGTTGTTCGATATCCTGTCACCTGATGATGGCCTATTCCATTAGGCTGAAAATGTTTTTGTTTTAATAAATATTTCTCAGCGTTATAAGGTGTTAAATGTTTATTAAATGTTTTAAAAGAAGTTGAGTTGATATTCAATTTATTGACAGAGGTATAATTATATTGTTCCACTAAGAGGGAGCAAATAACGTATGTGGGGCTACAAACTAGCTAGAGTACAGTGGCTACATATATATCTTTAGCCACTGTAGGCTGGAGGAGCATAGAAGAAAGATCAGGACAAAAAGATATTACCATGTTATGTTAAGAAGCCCTTGACAAAGAAAGCAAGGTACGGTGGGAAGAGGGGAGAATGTTTGAAGAAATAAGGGAAAGAGGAGGCTTGGATGTGGCTGAAAAAGCATGAATATACAAAAGGAGTTTGAAAAGAGTAATTAATGGCAGGGACTGTTCGAAACGTTACCGAATTGCTGAAAACGGCTAATAAATAAATCTTATTATTAATATACATGTAGTTTTTAGGGCTTATTAAGGGTGGGACTTTTTTATAGGATAAAGTTTAGAGTGATTTGTATTCGATGTTTTTTATTGTTACTTGTAGTCATTATTTGTGCTGGTGTAAGAAACGTAGTTCTTATAATCGGCAAGTAGTTGTGCACGTGTGGTGAATGGGAGGCGTGAAATAGTTTTCTCAAGAAGGTGAATGAAAACGATTGTTGATGTAACATCTTGGTTGTGCAGATTGCGATTTACTCGATTGTCAGAAAGTGGTAGAAGTAACTTGTAAATAAAGGTAAACTGCAGAAAATGATTTTTTTTAGGTCAATTTAGTTGTTATACGTATATTTGTGCAATTCAAGTAAACTTTTAAACTAAACGTTACTTCATTACATAAACTTATTAATAGTAATAATGAAATCAAAACCTGTTTTCTGTTTTGAAGTTGTATCTTAATTTTATTAACGTGGACTACTAAAACAAAAGCGATAAAGTTTTCTCCCTCATTTAGTTTATTTAATTGTGATCCGTCATTTTAAATAAGGTAATCAAAATTTAATTAACAGGAATGTAGAATAAGGTCTTTTTTCTTTACAAAATCGTTCAGCATACTCACAGTGCAAAATAAACATTGAACTATAAATTTAAATATATGCAGTATACCCTTTTTCATATACAAAAATTTACTGTACAGTATACTGTATAATTATTGTTGCTATAAGATAACATTAAATTATAAATATAGTCAAATTTCCAGCAAAGAAGAAACTGGAAGAAGCGTTTTGCTGGCTATTAATCAAATTTAGAAAAAATTCATTTCATGCGAAAAAGTTGGTCAGTCTAAAAGTACGTATTGATTGACACATCGCAGGGTCAATCGACTAAATTAATATACTGTATTTTTCAATACTCGACAGTCGAATGAATGGTTAATAAATTTACTACTTGTAATTGTCTTTAAATAATAAATGGCTTTTCTGGTCGATTCCTCATTTGCAGTAACGCTAATCGCAGAAAACGACGTAGCCTATACACTATTTAATGGTCGATTAGGTTACACTCGTTAATCTTTGCCTTAGGCTAAACAACCATTTAGGATTAGATTTTCTCCGTCCCGTTTGAATTATAAGTCTGAATATTCGGCGAAAATGGAGAGAAAATCTTCGAACTCGATCCGTTATTAATAAGAGAATCATTGCGGCGACATTAAAAAGAAATGTGAAATGAAAATATGAATAAATATATATGATATATATATATATATACACACACACACAACCATTCTATAATAATGACTAAAATCTCCCACGAACTCCCACGAAACGCATTGAAAAGTGTGCGTGTAATAGGAAAAAATTGAAATTATAGTACCTGATTATAGAACAAATAGCTTTGCTTTAGTAAGTTCTCCAAACTTATATGCGTAATATCAAAAATCCAGTGGAAGAATATGGATGCCATAAGATTTAAATCTTATATAAAATTACCGAAACACATTTAAAAATACTATTAAATGGGTGGTTAATTGCGAAGACTAAAGTTATTTACCGTTATTCGGTGCAAATAATTATGAATTCCGCATTAATCGATTTTAGTAATCGATTCTGAGAATTGTATAGAAAATTTCTATGAATTTATTTGTTTTTTTTTATAAATAGGCGTACTTAATTTCACCGGGAAAACAATTACATACCGTATACATAATCGATTAAAATTAACAAAAGAATATTCTAGAATCGTATCGTCTCTCTTGGGAAAAATGTATCGATTTTTAGATCTTTATATAAGTTACACGTTGCAGTGTTACACAGTAGGCCTATAATAAAAATGCATCATTCGATTTATAGGTTTAACTTTTACTGTAGATTTTTAAAGGTTTTTCTTATAAGAAAATGTATATTAATCTTAATTGCATTTTATCTGTTTTTATTATAAAATTTTCGTTTATAACTTCACACGCTTAATTAATTAACCGAAAAAATCGAGCAATATTTTATTAATAAATTATTTTTAAAAATCAATTTATATGTAAATAAGTTTTCCCAAATATTCGATTTCTAATCGTAATCGTTTATATCTACTTTAAATACGGACAAATAGAAACGAATATCCTTTCTAGAATTTTCCATTTTCCCCAATTTTCTCTCCGTCACGTGACAACAATCTGACTCAGCATTGACGATAATACGTCACCGAAGGAAACGTCGGTTTAGCCAATGAGAGAGCGAAGATTCACGGAACCGTCCACGCGTGTATATAAAGCCGGCAAAGTCCGCGTCGGCCATTGTTCGAACAAACGTGCGATAGCGTTCTTTGTGTCCATTTGCAGAAGAAGAATTTATTGCGAAATTATCAAATTTTGAATCTCGATTACGAGGAGTAAGTGTCGTTCATTTGGTTATATTCTAGTACTTTCCGATTAGGTCATAGAGCCGTATCGAGTGAATGAATAATTCCTTTTCTAATTTATTTTTAATAGAAATGGCAAAGACTCCGGCGATTGGTATCGATTTAGGAACCACTTATTCCTGCGTTGGGGTGTTCCAACACGGGAAAGTAGAGATTATTGCCAACGATCAAGGAAATAGAACGACTCCGAGTTACGTCGCATTTACTGACACGGAGAGGTTGATTGGCGATGCTGCGAAGAATCAAGTAGCCATGAATCCTAGCAATACCGTTTTCGGTAAATATCGGAGCAATCCGAGAGTTAACGTATAAGAAAACACTTAATTACAAACTTAATAATATGAAATTTATTGCATTTTTTAGATGCTAAACGACTTATCGGACGTAGATTCGAAGATTCTTCGGTTCAGTCGGACATGAAACATTGGCCTTTTGAAGTAATTAGTGATGGAGGAAAACCAAAGATTAAAGTTGATTATAAGGGCGAAAGTAAAACTTTCTATCCCGAGGAGATTTCTTCCATGGTTCTCACCAAAATGAAAGAAATCGCCGAGGCTTATCTGGGAAAGACTGTTACTAATGCCGTCGTTACTGTTCCGGCTTATTTCAACGACTCTCAAAGACAGGCTACTAAAGATTCGGGTACTATTGCTGGGTTGAATGTGCTGAGAATCATTAATGAACCCACTGCTGCTGCCATTGCTTATGGTTTGGATAAAAAAGTAAGATTTTTTTTTCCAAAATTAGATGATTGTGATTACGTATCTTTTCGATGTATGTAAATAAAATGACTTGTTCTTTCAAATTGACTTTTCACAGGGAAGTGGAGAAAGGAATGTTTTGATTTTTGATCTTGGTGGAGGTACTTTTGATGTGTCTTGTTTGACCATCGAAGATGGTATTTTTGAAGTCAAGTCCACTGCCGGCGATACTCATCTGGGTGGAGAGGATTTTGACAACCGTATGGTTAATCATTTTGTGCAAGAATTTAAGCGTAAACACAAGAAAGATCTTACTACTAATAAGAGAGCATTGAGAAGATTGAGAACTGCCTGCGAGAGGGCAAAGAGAACTTTATCTTCGAGTACTCAAGCCAGGTATGTTCGTTGGGTGTTTTTTTTTTTTTTTTTTTTTTTTTTTTTTTGTGTGTGTGTTTGATCATAAACAAAAATCACTTAATGCTACCAAACTTTCCTCCTCCAGTATTGAAATTGATTCTCTGTTTGAGGGAATAGATTTCTACTCCACCATCACCAGAGCTAGATTTGAGGAGTTGAATGCCGACTTGTTCCGTGGAACGTTGGAACCGGTCGAAAAGGCTTTGAGAGATGCAAAAATGGACAAGAGTCAAATACACGATATTGTACTCGTCGGCGGTTCTACTCGTATTCCAAAGATACAGAAATTACTGCAAGATTTTTTCAATGGGAAAGATTTAAACAAAAGTATAAACCCCGATGAAGCAGTTGCTTATGGTGCAGCTGTTCAGGTAATATTTCAGTTTTTTAATAGTAAGTAAAAGTATTGATTTTATAAATACACGCATATATTGATTTTTTTTTTTTTTTTTTTTTTTTTTTTTTTTTTTTTTTTTTTTTTTTTTTATATGCTAAAACCTCCCTTCAACAATAAGACTTTCTTTTTGACTTTAAAATAGTATCCTGTATCCAATTCATAGAATTTGGATTAAGCTTGTTTAGTTTTCATTCTCCCTACTTCGTGGGTACTAAGACGGCCTTTTTAATACTACTCATTATGGGTTTAAATACAAACAAAACCTTTTTAACTAATAACAGAACTTTAATGCAACTTCAGAATGTTTAAGTTCTGTTACTAGTTAAAAAGGTTTTGTTTGTATTTAATTACTCCCAGTAATTTGAAAAGGAGATGGTTATAACATATGGGTTTTTTGCCAAACTTTCAATTAGAGTGGCTGGTTAGTGGCGGATGGGACAGAGCACCCCAAAATGTATTTCTGGGGTTAGTTGCTCAGATTCAATTCCAGATCCTCAGTAGTGAACTTGTACTTTGCCTAAATTAATATGCCTTAATGTCCTTAATTTATTATAATCTTATTTCATTCACTAGTACATATTTTCTATTAACAGGACTTATTAAACTGGCTTTAAAGATATTTTATAATCTTTAAAGCCAGTTTAATAAGTCCTGTTAATAGAAAATATGTACTAATGAATGAAATAAGATTGTACTTTGCCTCCTTCATTATCCATCCACAATATGGATTTGAACTTAATAAAAATGCAACCTTTAACATACCATCTGAATCATAAATTTAGAACTTGATTGTTTGGTTTAACTATCTTTTAAATTTTTCTTTTTTTATCAACATTATATAAAACTGAAGTCACTGCTGGATTGATTTGTAAACACTAAAACTTTCTGTAAGAAATACAGAATTAGTATCTGAATAAAGTAATATTAGGAAATATGCCTTTTATATATTAAAAATAAGTTGTGTAATTGATGTTTCTTGTATAAGTAGTGTAAAATGTTGAAGCCACTCAATATCCATAACAAATTTAAATAGAAAACCTTAATTTTAGTGTCTACAAATTTTTTTTTAATTGTTGTTATTACAGGCTGCTATTTTGAATGGTGATAAATCAGAACAAGTTCAAGATCTTCTTTTGCTTGATGTTACTCCCCTTTCCCTTGGAATTGAAACTGCAGGTGGTGTAATGACTGTTCTTATAAAACGTAATACAACAATCCCTACCAGACAAACTCAGACCTTCACAACCTATTCTGACAACCAGCCTGGGGTTTTAATCCAAGTTTACGAAGGCGAAAGAGCTATGACGAAAGACAACAATCTGTTAGGAAAGTTTGAGCTTACCGGAATTCCTCCGGCACCTCGTGGAGTTCCTCAGATCGAGGTAACATTTGATATCGATGCTAATGGTATCATGAACGTGTCTGCCGTAGATAAGAGTACAGGAAAAGAGAATAAAATTACCATCACTAACGATAAAGGCCGTCTTTCAAAAGAAGAAATCGAGAGAATGGTAAAAGATGCAGAGAAATACAAGGACGAAGACGATAAACAGAAAGGTAGAATTTCTGCCAAAAATTCTCTTGAGAGTTATGCTTTCAATATGAAGTCAACTGTTGAAGACGAAAAGTTAAAAGATAAAATTTCGGAGGACGATAAGAAGAAACTGTTAGAAAAAGTGGAAGAGACAATCAAGTGGCTAGATACTAATCAGGTAAGATCTTTTTAAACCCAAAAAAAATTGTATATATTTTATATTTTACATATATACAATAAAAGCATATATATTACAGCTTGCAGAGAAAGAAGAATTTGAACACAAACAAAAAGAATTGGAAGGATTTTGTAATCCTATTATTACAAAGTTATATCAAGCTGGAGGAATGCCAGGTGGTATGCCAGGAGGATTCCCAGGTGGAGCACCTGGTGGTGCTGCTGGGCCTACAAGTGGAGGTGGAAGTGGTCCAACTATAGAGGAAGTTGATTAAATAATTTTCAAAAATTTAATTTATTCGTTTAAAATGTTGGAAAATTTTTATTTACACTACACTACTATAAACAGCTTTTAAAATTTTCATAAATACTGTATTTAGCAATTATTCTTTTTCTAGTATCTGTTTTGTTATCAAATGTTTATCAAAATTAAAGTATTTAATAAAATTTGCACATGTTTGTTTTATTTATTTAATAACTACGTTTATTCATGATTTGAAGTTTTTATGAAATGTGATTTTTATGCTTTTTCTTCAATGGAGACATGATAGTCTTCCCATAATTTTCATGTGTAGGAAAAAAGAGGGGAACGTGAACACTAGTACGTATAAATAAATTTTTAAATATATAGTTTTGTGAATTCAGTTTTAGCGTACTTTTATAATCTGTTTTAAGTCAGAGGTTCCAAACCTTTTTCTCGCATTGACCTTTTATATAGAAAATTTTTTCAATCGACCCCTGAAATCTCATTAGTTTAGAAAAATAACCTTTTTCACTAACCATTAATTCAAATATAAAGAAATAAAAGTTAAAGGAGCCCATTAAATCGATTTAACAGAGCCGGGACATAGACAATTATAATTGAAGCGAAGGCATTAGCGAAACTTCTATGAGGCTTACAGAATTGTGTTCGTTCTCAAAATCCGTTCCGTACATTTCGATAAAAGTTTGCCGTTTTCCATTCGTTGAGACGAGGAATCCAGAAATGTGAAGTGGGTCCATTTAAATGTAAAAAATCCAGCAACGAATCGCTTAACTTTCTAGGCGACTATTAAAAATTCTGGAGGCGCTATCTGTAACGATATTTCATTTTAAAAACTCTACATTTTTAATTATTATAAAATGGCAAAATCTTAATTTTGAGGGTAGGGATAGTTTTTATAAAAGTTGTAAATGCTAATAACGAGTAAAATCGTCATTAAGTCCGACCCTACTCGAGATATGACACGACCACCCTTTATCTCCCCACCCCGTCGTGGGCGGAGCTAAGAATGTTCCGAGCAATCATTGAACGATTATTCTTAGCTAGACAACTGGGCAAAATGGTGGACGAAGTCGAAATTATGATCACAACAATTGCCGAAAACGAACCGGTCGAAAAGGATGAAATAACAAATAAATTATTCAAATGGAAGCTGCGTCAGATCGTGATAAAATTAATAAAGCAATTATTAATTATAATTAACGAAATGGACCGATATCTTCCGTTAAAATGTATTCGGAATCTGTTATACCGACGTATGATAATTTTATATTTCGAAGTTATTTTAGAATGAGAGAATAACTTTGTGATTGTTATAATAAAATACGTTTAGTCCAACACGAGCATCCATCTTGCAAATCGTAAGACGAGACAAAAACAATGACGTCACTAGTAGAAGTTAGCATAGATAAAAGAAGCCGACTGAACTAGCTAGCATTCCAGTTGGTGGGAGGAGTCAAGAAGTAGTTAGAAACGAGTTCAACATCGCAGCATAACTAGACTTAGCAAGAATTCTGCGTTATTGAACACGGCCCAGGAATCTTTCTAATACACAGACCTTCCTGCAAAATTTCAGAAATTTTCGAAATCACAAAAGTTATTAACGGGACAGACTTAAAGTTTAAAATTTGAGTGTTTTTGAGGCCCAGTGATTTTTTCTCTAGGAGTACCGGAAGAAGTAGAAGAAAATATAACTTTTTTAGCAATTTTTGCATTTTTCGATTGCTTATATTTCGGCAACTCCTTTACAGCAAAACCTGAAATTTGCACACTATCCAAGAAAGCAAGTCTCTTTCGAACGAGATGTTCACACTTACTACATGCTTTTAGGGAGCGAAGAAATTGACTCCCGAAAATCGGCGCTTCTGATTCCTGTGTATACTGTATAGTCAGTCAGTGACTTTTTGACTTGGCGCGAAGTTACTGCCGAACTTGATAATTATAAAGTAACTCTTATACCTTATCAACACGATAAATTGCGGAATAGTTTTCCGTTTAGATGGAAAACTGTTCCATGATTTCCTTCTTTCTTATTTAAATAAAAATATGAAACTTATTTTTCAAATCTTGTTTCCAAATTGTAAAGTATAATCTAAAAACTTTATTTTTACTTATTTTCGAATTTTTATGAATTTAGAACAAACGCAAAGTCAGGTTTTTATTATTATTATTATTTTTATATAGCTACGTATTTGGCAATTAGTTTAAAACTTATGACAAGACGTTTTTTTAAGAAACTTGATTTCGATCTTTTTCTTTTCATTTTTTATCAAATTTCAACTCCAATATGGACTGTACATTTCGAGATTTTCCTTTCTTCAGTTGGAAGAATACATTTAAAAAAATCACGTAAAAGGTTTTTCTATTAAACAAATTTTCCTTCGTAAAAAATACAATCTTGTAAATAAGTAGTATTTTGATAATTTTTCTACAAATTGAAGTTTTTGTCACTTTTTCGACATTCCAAAGTAAAATTAATAGTAAAATCAGTTTTTTATGCTACGCGGCCGATACGCAATACTCAAAATCATTTATTTTGGCGAGTTTGCATTTTTTAATTTTACAATTGTAATACTTTTTTTTAAACTTTTGTCTCCAACGCATATTTTAAAATCATAGATTCCGCCATCCCGATCCTATCGATAGGTAAACCGCCATCTATTTCTTTCTTTCGCCGTCATTCTCAAAAACCTACAAACAGTCCCTCACCACTCAGCCGCCCCATTGTGGGCCTGGCCGAACCTATAACGGGCTTGCTAATGGAGGTCCTCTTAGAGCCCACAGTGTAAAAAGAGTTTAAGAAAAACCTACAAACGAAAACGCATGCCCGTGGCGACGGAGCGACTACTATTATCGAACGCACTCCGTATTAATTAAATTCTGGCATAACGAATTTGTGAATTAATAAAAACAGTTGTAGTTAATTTATAATAAAAAAAATTACAAAGTAATATTACTAATGAGAACAAAGAATTTATCATAATGTTAAAAATTAATTTAAACGTTTGTATATTTTTAAAATAAGAATTTTTGGCTAATGTCAGATGTTTGTTATTAGCTGGCAACACTGCTCGTGTCCATTCAGTTATTGAAACGTTTGGCGTGTTTCCGTTGTTAGTTGTAACTTCCAATTCTATACTTTTAGATAGTAAATTCACCAAGAATAGTCATGTCGTACAAAGGCGCACAGAAGATACAAAAGGTGATGGTTCAACCAATCAACCTGATATTTCGCTATCTACAAAATAGAGCTAGAATTCAAGTCTGGCTGTATCAGAACATCACCATGAGAATAGAAGGACACATTATTGGGTTCGACGAGTATATGAACTTGGTGTTAGACGATGCCGAAGAAGTCCATATGAAAACTAAACAGAGGAAGGCAATTGGCAGAATATTATTAAAAGGAGAAAACATTACACTGATAATGAGCACACAAACATTACCTGGTTAATGTAGTTCGTGTATGTTATCCATCTCTAGTGTGTTCTGTGAAATTGATTTTATCTGTTCTTCATTAGTGCATATAATAATTCTGAAGTTCATCAAGTGCTATTTCATCTTTGCGTGTTTTACTTTATTACGAGAACACGTCCAATTAAGATTTAGAACACCCCGAATTTTTGTTATTCGCGTTGTAAATATGTATTTGAAGTATCAATAACATAAGTGAAATTAAACAATGCTAATTTGTTTAGTAAAAATATTGTTTTCATAAATCGTAGTGTCATGTCATATTTTTTCATTTAGATTTATTTTATATAATATTTCGTGATATACTATTGCTCGTATCTGCTAAAATTTATACTGATTTACAATAAAAAGTATAGTACACTCCAGCTAATGGGAGTTATTTGAAGTTTTGGGATTATACAGTATAGAAACAATAGATAAATACTTGTATGTCAAATACTGTACAAAAACTATACATAAAACTTAAATATATGTTAAAATGTGTAATTCATATTAATTTTGCAATTTGACATGCTTTTAAAAATTCTGTGAATTCTTTTTGTTTTTGGCTGGAACATTTAGTGGAAAAACAAAGTTGGTTCAGATTTCTTAAAGTGTGATATATATCCTTGCAATTATAGTTTAAA